CTTCTAATCTCAGATCAGCTGTCATCTGCTCATGCCTGACTTTTTATTTACTTATGTATTATTAAATTTATGTGCTGCCCATCTCATGATCCAGAGCAACTCTGGGAGGCGTACAGTACAGTAAAAATAAAATATAAGAACAATTTAAAATTATAACAACCATTGAAAATTCCAAAAGTTATTCGATACAGGTTAAAAAAACAAACCTCAAGGTCTTGTGCAGAGAGGGGTGGTCTCTTCTCTTTCACTGCACCAATCACCCCCAGCCTAGCGTACCCCATCGGGGCCCAAGCCAACCAGCAAAGTCAGGTTTTAAGGTCCTTCCAGAAGACCAGAAGAGTGGGAAGAGATCTCTCCTCTGTGTTTCACAGAGTGGGGGCTGTGGCAGAAAAGTATCTTCCCCTGGACCCCATCAACCAAAATTCCTTGGCTGAGGGGTTTGCAGCCTGATGAGTGAGATGGGCTGATCCCATTGGAGCAAAATGCTTCCTCAGATATCCTGGACCCATGCCTTAAAGGGCTCTAATGGTGTCACCAACACCTTGAATTGGACCTGGAAGCACGACAATCAGTGCAGCTCACATAATAGTGGTATTACTTGTGCCTTGTCAATGCTGCTAACCTTGGATGTTCTTGCTTTGACAACATATGAAGATGCAGCCTTTTTCTTTCTTATGCTTTACTCTTAGAATTAGATGATGCTGGGGGAGGAGGCGGAATGTGATGGGAGTTTAGTTAGACATAACAATATTGTACTAGTGTGTGAATTCAGAGCTTGAAATAAGAGATGGTAAGAATTGGCGGGTTAGAGATCAGGAGGGAAAGCCTGCATTTCAAACTAATTGGAGAATGTGATTTATGACTGTTAATTGGAGGAGGGAATTGTGCTTTGCTAGTATGTGCTCAGGGGAGGGGAATTCAGATTTCGGCTTTGACCATGTACCTGCCGATGCTATGCTACACGAATAAAGATTATTTAAGGTAAACAATGCCTCGAAGTTCTTTGAAGAGTTTCATCTGTTGGAACCATGACAGTGCCAGCCTAGGGGGCCTGATGAACTGTTTACAGTGTTGCATTCTGAACTGTAGCTTCTGAATACTCTTCAAGGGCAGCCCTACGTAGAGTGCATTGTATTAATCCTAATGAGAGATGACCAGGGCATGAGTGACTGAGTGCAAGACCTGTCAATCCAGGAGTGAGGCCCTGCCAGAAGCACTGTGTGGCTACCTTTGTATAGGGGGAAGGAAGTTCTTATTTGGGACAATAATGAATTCCTGAACTTCTCTGGAATCCATCCCAAGAGCAAACAGAGTGCTCTAAAACCAAGGTTGGCCCACCACGAATTCCAGGAAATCAAGAAAGGACCTTGCTATTTAGCAAGGTAGGATGTTCACAATCTGGTTCTCTAGCTTGTCTCTCTGGCCCCCATCATTCACTGCTTATCACCTCTGCAACAGACCCCCCCCCCCAGCCACTGCAGGATCATCATCATCTCACTTCTTCTATCCTGGGATTGTAAGTGATGCAAGACCTAAAACCTAGTTGTTTTGCTACTCTTCTGCAGAGAGCTCTCAATAATATCCACCACAGCTACACACATGTTGAAGTCATGAACAAAAACGACCATTTTGAACAAATCCCGTAGTAATCCTAGAGATCTGGTGTTGGTTAACTAAGATAAAGCCGACTGCTGACAAATTTGTTTTTCACTTAGCTTCTCTAGCTTTGCCTGTGCTACTAACTTCAAACTTTCTGACAGAAGACAAGATCAGAGGGTAAAAGCTTTTTAGTGAGAGATTCACATTTGAAATAAGGGCAAACATCTTAACTGTGAGTGCTACTAGGCATTGAATAAACTGCTTCCTGAAGTTGTGGGTGTCTCATTATTGAAAGTTTTCAAGAAAAAAATGAATCATTTGAAGAGCAACAAAAATGATTAGGGGACTGGAGGCTAAAACATATAAGGAACGGTTGCTAGAATTGGGTATGTCTAGTTTAACGAAGAGAAGGACAAGGGGGGACATGATAGCAGTATTCCAATATCTCAGGGGCTGCCATAAAGAAGAGGGAATTAAGCTATTTTCCAAAGCACCTGAAGGCAGGACAAGAAGCAACGGGTGGAAACTAATCAAGGAGAGAAGCAACCTAGAACTAAGGAGAAACTTCCTGACAGTGAGAACAATTAATCAGTGGAACAGCTTGCCTCCAGAAGCAGTAAATGCTCCAACACTGGAAGTTTTTAAGAAGAGACTGGACAGCCACTTGTCTGAAATGGTGTAGGGTTTCCTGCCCGAGCAGGGAGTTGGACTAGATGACCTCCAAGGTCCCTTCCAACTTTACTAATATGAACATATGAACTTCCAAGGACCTCCAATGGTCCCATGATTCTAAATCAGAGGTTTCCAAACTTGGCAGTTTTAAGACTGTGGACTTCAACTCCCAGGATTCCTCAACCAGCATGGACCCCTCTTCTAAATTATAACAATTTAACATACAATGTACATTGTACTGCATAATAACATTTTCTCCCAAATGTTAAGGTTTTTACAAGGAAAAGGCAGGGGGGAAAGAATCTAATTTTTCTTTTTTCTAATTTGGATGGCTGAAAGCAGGTGGTGTATCTTCAGCTATGATGGATGAATTGTGGAGAGAACTTGCATTCCCAAGTGGCCAACTATCTATGGATAAACATGCTTCTTCTCTTTTGCAAACCTGAACCTTTTGTTTAGTTAAATTAGAGATTAGTAGACCGTTTTATATGTCAACCACTGTACCTATTGTAGAACCTTTTTACACTATGTTGATGTGTCTATTAGCTCTTTTGTTTGACAAATGAAATGTTTTTTTTTGAAGTAGTTCTATCTATGAAATTTAGGATAAATGCTCTAGAGCTACCAATACCAGGGAATAAATTCTTAGCTGTTGTGCTCTCTTCGATTTCTTCTTTGGACTTTATATTATCACATGAAAGGATGAGTTGGTAGGACAATCCCTGTTGTGTGCATACAGGACATTTCACAAGAAGTATAGCTTCTTGTTGAAAGGGTCTTAATCTCAAAATTTGATGAACAATATCAGCAATAGCAACAGCACTTAGACTTATATACTGCTTCATAGTGTTTTGCAGTCCTCTCTAAGCGGTTTACAGAATCAGCATATTGCCCCCAACAATCTGGGTCCTCATTTTATCGACTTCAGAAGATGGAAGACTGAATCAAACTTGAGCCCATCAGGATGAAACTCCTGGCTATGGGCAGAGTCTGCCTGCAATAGGGCATTCTAACCACTGCTCCACCACAGCTCTGGTGGTCTGGACCAATCCCGCTAAATGTAGGGATTCTTAATGTTTCACCTTACAGAGTCTTCCCCAGTGTTGAATCCTCCATTCTATTGGATACCATTCCCAAGTTCCTGGTGAGACTGGGGGAAGCAACATGGGCTGTCTTTGTTTTCCTGATGGCACCTATGAAGTTCTCCAGATGTTTTCTATATCTTTTTTTGTAACTGGTATTTTTCAAGTGATCATCTCTAGATTTTTCTTCCCTTCCTTCTATGAGTCACTTCTTCAAATGAGGAATATTCCACAGAGATCATGAAATAATCTATAAGAACAGCATTTTACCCAAATTCACATGCAGGAGCATTGTCTAGATCAGTGATGGTGAACCTTTTAGAGACCGAGTGCCCAAAAACTGACTCTGCCCCCTGCCCCGCCCCCACCCTGCCTGCCTGCAGGGCCACTCACTGCCTTCAGGGTCCTTCACAGATCGCCCAGGCAGCCTAGCAGCGCCATGGCGGTCACACCCTCTGCCTGCGCCCCGCAGCATCAATTGTGCGGGATGGGGTGTGAGGGCAGAGTCTTGTCTACACTGCCTGGCTGCCATGTCCTTGGCTCCGCTGCTCTGTGTGGGCCACACTCGGGGGCGACTCTCCTCCAGGGGGGCTGCTGGTGAGGAGGGGGTTGTGGGGGGAGGCGAGGCTGGGGCAACGGCACGTGTGCCCACAGAGACAGCTCCGAGTGCCACCTCTGGCACGTGTGCCATAGGTTCACCACCACTGGTCTAGATCAACTTTTCAAACTGCTGCAGTTCCCAAATGTGAGGATTTCAAGTGCTAGGATTCTCAACTGGCAGGGTGGAGAGTTGAAATCATATATCTAGAGTATCCAGATTTTGAAATACATATCTGGAAGTAGCCAAACATGGAAAATACTAGCCTAGACTTTGGCTTTGTTGATAATCCTAGTGACCTTCAGATGTTGTTGAATTATAGGTGTGTCCCAGCCAGCATGCAGATATGAATTCTAGAGCAAGGGTTACATTTTTGTCTTTCAGCGTCATAGTGGCTGAGATGATACCCCAAAAAGTAAAGGATTGATGAATCAGGACAAAAACTATATTTGATTTGATTTATGTTTATGTTTAATTAAAATTAAATTAATTCCTCCACAATCAAGTCATCCACATTAAAAATGATAATTTGGTGGCAAACCTTTGAGATCTCTGGGGACCAAATGAAGCCCCTGTCCTTAAGCTGCACTTCCCCTTTGTTAATCAATTAATTGTTAAACAATTAACCAGTGGAACAACCTGCCTCCAGAAGCGGCAAATGCTCCAACACTGGAAGTTTTTAAGAAGAGACTGGACAGCCATTTGTCTGAAATGGTATAGGGTTTCCTGCCTGAGCAGGGGGTTGGACTAGATGACTTCCAAGGTACCTTCCAACTTTATTATTATTGTTGTTGTTATTGTTATTGTTGTTGCTGCTGTTGTTATTAATCAGAACATGTGGAAGGTAACACTTGGAAGAGATTGCTACCAAACATTTTGATTTGGCAGTATTTGCTCTATGCACATATTGTCAATCAAACAATTAGCAAACACCTTTTAATTTAAGCAATATTAGGATTTTGTATGTGGGTAATGTATCTGGTTATGAGAATGAAATCTGACAATATTAGTGGTCTTTCTTAACCCATAGTATTCCCTTTCTCTTTTAGATCTACAAACCCTTGCTTAAAAGATACATGGAACTTGAGCAGAAGGTGCTGAATAAATCAAAGTAATATCTTTGAAGAGAATCTATCAGTAATGATTTAAACGAAGAATATATTGAAGAGTGAAAGAAACAGGGTCCACAGTTGTGTAAAACATTCTTGATTTTGTAATTGAAATAGTATTGTGGAATAAATAACTGCACTTGTTTTGTTCATCACTGTCTACACAAGTGGTCCTTCAGTGTCCATGAATACCTCTAGTAGCACTTGCAAATAAGGATTTTGCCATTTCAAATTAGCTTTGGATTTACCTGATCAGATAATGTTTGCTCTTTTTGAGAGCTTGTAGTGAAATGATTATATGCACAAAGATGGAAACATTCAACGCTAGCTACTATGGTTGATGAAGTGGACAGATTTTGCTGAAATGGACAAATTGACTTCTTTGATTAGAGAAATCGAATTATCTATATTTATTGGAGATTGGAAGCCTATAATGGACATTTTGTGTAGAAATTAAAAAATATATTTATGGTTAGGCAGGATAGATGGTAGGAAGCAGAATATTATGATGTAACTTTAGACAGAGTTTATATTATCTGTAAAAAATACTGAAAGCCATTTTTTGGACATCATCTATAGAAGCAGTCTTCATTTCTGACATTATAGTTACTGATTTCTGGCCCTATTTTTTGAAAATCTCCTGGAATATTTCCAATTTTATGTCATTTTGTAAATCTCCATTTATATAAGTTTACACTTTTTTTTTATCTTTTCCAAATTTTTCTTCCTGGAGTCTTTAATCCCCTCTGATGTCGAGTTTGACAACAACTTGATGGCACATAATCAAATCACTGGCCAACCAGAATATATTCTGATGGTCCCAGATTGTCCTCTATGTTTCAAGGCCCTCAGTAGAGAGGTCAGCTGTGACTTAGTTTCAAAAGTTTTGAAGAGCTGTACAAGTGTTATGGAAGTAATGAACTTCTTTTGACCATTCTAGCATTGGGTAGTTGAAAATAACTCATGGTTTATCCATCTTGGCAATTTCCAGAGGCTGAGGAATTGGAACGCTAAAAAACGTGAGCTAGGAAGTTTGGAATTGATGTCCTCAAACAACCAGAGATTTATCACCTTGAGCAGTGGTTCTCAACCTGTGGGTCGGGACCCCATTTGGGGTCGAACAACCATTTCACGGGGGTCGCCAAACAATGCAGTCTGCCATTTTTTCCCCCTTTTCCTTAGCTGTGCTACTCCCTTTTATTCTATTGGCTTTTGAAAGCCAATAGAATAGACTCTCTTGAATAGAGTTTAATTCTATTGGCTTTCAAAAGCCAATAGGAATTGTCCAGGCTGTCTCTGCCCTGCTGAGCCCGCCAAAAGCCCCATTCTGCAAACGGTGTTGCACCAGTTGAGTAGTCCTCGACTTATGACCGGTTGGGGGTCGCAGCATTAAAAAGGTTGAGAACCACTGACCTTGAGAAAAGCAGAATGACCCACTAAATTCCAAAATGGACCTTGTCAGTTGGTCTATTAGAGTCTTGGTAGTCTTCTTTTTTAGACCTTGATGGCATAAACTAAGTACACTGAGCTTTGTCCCAATAAGGCACAATTTTTACCTCCTGCAGTTTTTTCTCTGTTGCACCCCAAAATTTTCTGTTTCACTGAAAATCCATCATGTTGATCATCTTGATGTGCCTGTCAAAGGCTTAGCTTTAAAAAAGCTGTGCCAAATGCACTGCTGAAATGCACTCGCCTTATTATGGGAATCATTTATTTGATCCCATTTTTGTAAATTAAGACTTTTGAAATTCAGACACACATCCTTCCCTCTTAGAAGCACAGGAGAAAAGGAACGTCTGTTCAGCTAATGTAAATTTGGATTGAACATGCACCACCACAAATGGGAATTTAGCAGATCTTTCAGGGATTATTACAGTGATGGACTAAAACTACATTATAGAACAATGTGATTTCCTGTCTATATTTTGTTCCGTGACCCAGTTTTAAATGAGTTGAAATTCAAGTGCTTTGAACCTTCCCATTGTCAATACGGAATAAAGCATAAACTTAAGTTCCTTTGCTCATTCAGAATAACAGAATTGGAAGGGATCTAGGTGGCCTTCTAGATCAACTCCCTGCTCCAGCAGGAGACCTTACACCACTCCAGACAAATGGCTGTCCGATCTTTTCTTAAAAACCTGCAGTGATGGAGCACCCACTTCTGCAGGCAACTCATTCCACTGAACTTTTGAACTTCAAAATGAAGTGGCGAGATGTCCCCCCCTCTCTCTCCCTCCCCTCTTCTCCCCTCCCCCTCTCTGCCTCGACCCTCTTAGAGCAGTGTTTCTCAATCTTGACAACTTCAAAATATGTGGACTTCAACTCCCAGAATTCCCCAGTCAGTAGAAATACTATCATAAAGGCTTAGAGCAGGGATAGGCCACCTTGGTTCTTTTATGACTCGTGGACTTCAATTCCCAGAATTCCTGAGCCAACATGGCTAAGCATGGAAACCTTTCCCTTTCCCCTCAGCATAGCTGGCTCAGGAATTCTGGGAGTTGAAGTCCACGAGTCATAAAAGAGCCATGGTTGCCTACCCCTGGTTTAGAGACTTATGCTTCGGATGCATAGAACCAGAGCTCTGCCACACTGGACAGGATCCAAGATGCAGACTATGCAGAGAGACCTCAGAGACAGTCCAATGCATAGTGGGAGAGAGTAAGATGCAGGCAGGAACAGCAAACCCTGAGTGATACAACCCAGTAGTTGGTGTTGTTTACAGGAACATCTGAACAGCGTATGGCCAGAGGGGAGATCCCACAGAAGGTCGAAGAGAATAAGAAGAATAAGATCCTGTGGGATTTCCAGATCCAGGTGGATAGGCAAATTCTAGCCAATCAACCACACGACGGTAGCAGACAAAGACTAGAGCACTGTGGTGGTGCTAGATATAGTGGTGCCAAGTGACAGCAACATCACAAAGCTGGAGAAGTAGCAGGGACTAAAGAGGAACTAAGACGATGTGCAAAGTCAAGGCCAAAGTGATCCCAGTGAGTGTAGGAGGACTCAGGACTGTGATTCCTAAGATGGGAGAGGAGCTCTTACTGATCCCAGGAGTGACTTTAGGGCTCTCTGTCCAGAATAGGGCAGGGCTAGGAACAGCTGAGATCCTATCTTGAACCTTCAAATGCCCAAAATAGAACAAGAGCTGAAAGGGACTTTGGAGGCCTTCTAGTCCAGGGCTTTTCAACCAGTGGTACGGGTACCACTTGTGATACATTGGCACCTGGCAGGTGGTACGTGACCATCCTAGAAAAATGGTAGTGGGGGAGGGGAATGAGCTGAACAGGTGGCAGCAACGCACAAGCCTGAGCGAGAGATGGCTGGAGCTGCAGGGCTGTCAGGGCTCAGCAGAAGCCCCAGGATCAGTGCTTCTTCAGGACTGTCGGCTTAGTGGAAGCACCAGGATCAGCGCCAGGCTCCAGCTGGAGCTTGGCACTGATCTTGGTGCTTCTGCTGAGCCCAGAAGAAGTGCCGATCAGCTGGAATGTTGCAGCATCTCCAGGGTCTTGTGATTTACATTCAGATGCTTGGCAACTGATTCATATTTATGACGGTCACAGTGTCCCAGGGTCATGTGAAGTGACCAAAACCTGCTGCAACCACCCAGCAGACGGGGGGGGGGGGGGAATAAAAACCAAAAATCCCCCTTGGACAGGAGGAAGAGCACTGCTGGGTGGGCAGGCAAGTGTCTTGCTCGGCTGTGGCTTGGGGGGCACTTTTTTCAGTGCCATTGTAACTTCGAACAGTCACTAAGTGAACTGTTGTAAGTCAAGGACTACCTGTACTTTATCACTTTTTTCCTTTTTTTTGGTCCTCAAGTTTTTGACACCTTGCTAAGTGACTGGTGGTATTTAGATGTTGCCACATCCTACAAGTGGTACAATGGGTGAAAAGGTTGAAAAGCTCTGATCTAGTCCAACCCCCTTGCTCAGGCAGGAAACCCTATACCATTTCAGACAAGTAACTGTCCAGTCTTTTCTTAAAACCCTTCAGTGATGAAGCACCCACGATTTCTGGAGGCAAGCTGTTCCACTGGTTAGCTGTTCTCATCATTAGGAGGTTTCTACTTAATTCCAGGTTCCTTCTCTCCTTCAGCAAGACAGACAGCACTGTAGGGGTATGTGTGACAAGATACTTTTAAAAAATAATAAAATAAAATAATATAATAAAATATAAATAAAACAATAGTTTTTTAAGAACACGATGGAGTGGTGATTAAGAAAGGACATTGCTCAGAGAAGACTAGGATCACATCCTAGTCTTTCCCTGTTTAATTCTCACTTGCTTCTTTTGCTAAGTTCCAGTTCTCTGGGTGTTGAATACCAAGCTGCAGCTTTTTCTTTTAACACCATGGTCCCTGAGACCCACCTCTAATCCATCTGCAAAACGTTTATTGATTCTCCAATAAGCTTGACACAATGAAAAATTATTTCCTTTGCTGCCGAAAGTCCTTGATCATGGAAATGGAAAGAAACCACTGGAGTTTCCTGGAGACCCTTTGCTTGCAAAACACTGGAAAACTGAAGCATCAGAGCTGATTTGAGAACACACAATTCGGGGGGGGGGGGCCCACTGGGCTAATTTGATCCCTGTTGATCTCTCCTCAATTTAACTATTTTGGGGATCAGGTGGGAGAGTGTGCCTGAATAGCCCTGCCTGGGATGGACAGCTTAACAGGAAATATTTTACTTATATAACACAATACAGGTAATCCCCAACTTAACAACAAAAATTGAGACCAGAATTTCTGTTGCTAAAGATGGCAGTTGTTAAGTGAGTCAAGCCTGAGTTTATGACTTTTATTTGTCATAGTTGTTGAGCAAATCACTGCAGTTGTTAAGTGAATTGTGTGGTCATTATTTCTATTTCTATTTCCTATTTTATTCCTATTTCTACTCTACTCTACTCTACTCTACTCCACTCCACTCCACTCTACTCTACTCTACTCTAGTCCAGTCAAGTTCAGTCTAGCGCTCTCTCTCTCTCTCTCTCTCTCTCTCTCTCTCTCTCTCTCTCTCTCTCTCTCCCTCTCTCTCCCTGGAGGAGCAGGAAGCAGGAAGGGCAGGAGAGAGCTAGCTAGCCCAGCTAGGCTGACTCAGGAATTCTGGGTGTTGAAGTCCATGAGTCATAAAAGAGCCATGAGTCATAA